CAGCAATCCACTTCAAGCTGTGGTAATCTAAAGTTGTCTGATGACTGTTTAATGTCCTGAGTCTTTCAGAGCAAAGTGAGGTGCCTGTTCTGAGTTGGGCCATCTCTCCCCCTCTTAGCTCTCAGTCTCACCCTGGATGGTTATTCTGTCACCAGATCCTCTAGACATCTAACTTGTTTTTTTCATCACATTTGGCTTACAAGCAGGATTGACTGAAAATAGCCTAACCACCGCTCTCTATTTTCTCCCTTCACGGGATTTCTGTTCACTTTATTTTCAGAATTACTTACCTTATTTCTTCTTGACCATCTGTGTGGTGTCAAACTGTCTGAATAACTGAAGTATAAATATGACGTACACTTCCACAAGAATGGAGAGATAACAACTGTTCACATTCCTTGTTAAGACTCATCAGCACCTCTCACTTCCACCTCTTTAAGGAGTACTTACTGCAAAGGACAATCTATAGGAATCCTATCTGTAGGATTCCATGTGACCGTAAGGATCTGCCCTAGTGGATTTTGTTGCTTCCGAGGTCTATGGAGGTATGGAGATGAAACAGAGATGCAGGTGTTTAAGTGAGTTATAGGATGTGAGAGCAGACAGTAAACCAGCAAAGGTTATAAATACGAATTTATCTTCTTTGGATGACGCTTCAGCATACTTTGTGGTTTTTTTCTTAGCTTTGTCTTTTTTCAGTTAAAGAGCAGTTTCATTCTTTCAGTTGTTAGTATAAATTTATAAAAGTAGCCATGGCATTGAACAACAGATTAAAACTATAGTATAAAACACTTTGAAGCAGTAATTGAAAAATACGTAAGCAAAGTAAAAGAAAATAACTAATTAAAGTACCACATATCAGAGTCCAAAGCCAGTCCCTGGGAATCAGCCAGCTGCGAGGCTGATTTGGTGGCTCTAGACAGTTACTTACGTATTCAGGGCAGACTTTGTTCTCTTCTTCAGTTACAGCTTCAACCAGATATGGTGTCCTCTCTCAGCATTTCTTGACAGAAGTCAGGCTAAAGGCTTTTCAGAAGGGGTGGTTAATGCACTCTCCATGTTGGTATTACCAGTTTGAGGATAAGAGGAAAAAAAAATTAATCACTAAATGTGAAAACTGAAAATACAGACATGTTTAGAATTATGCCCAACAGCTTAGGAAAGGGGTGAATAGTAACTCCCTCAAGCTGCTGGGCTTTGTTTGCCAGAAGTGAATCTATCTGGAGGGGCAAGAGGAGAGACAGACCAGTATTTCTGCAGTTGATGTCCACCTTATCCTCACCTCGGGGAAAATTCAGATGGTGACAGTCCTGGCTGTTGCTAACCCCATCTAGGATGATCAGCTTTACACAGCTACTCATTATGAAGTTGACTTGGGGTTAGTAGGGATTTTTAGGAAATCATTTAAGGAAATGATTTTTAGGAAAAATTTCTTCACTGAAAGGGTTGTGAAGCACTGGAACAGGCTGCGCAGGGAAGTGGTTGAGTCACCACCCCTGGAGGTATTTAAAAGACACGTAGATCTGGTGCTTAGGGATATGGTTTAGTAGTGGACTTGGCAGTGTTAGGTTAACGGTTGGCCTCGATGATCTTAAAGGTCTTTTCCAACCAAAACGATTCTATGATTCTATGATACCAGGTGACACAGAAGGGCAGGAAAGGTGTCCATAAAGATGTATTTCACTAAATTTAAAAGTTTTACCTTTACATAAAATTTTTAGCTCTTAAGACTTCTACGCAAAACGATTTAAAAATAATTTTATTACTAGCCTGTAATATACTGAGTCTTAATCTTTCTATTACTTTTTAATGATGTACTGGAGAACTTGGAGGCCTTCCATTTTACTACACATATTTTGTTTTAAACTCCAGAACCCATATAGAAATGCAGTCTATTACTTAATAATTTCAGTATATTTTGTCATGTATGTTTTTCCAACATATAAACAGTGGAATTTCCTGTAATGTATTCCTTTAAAGCAGAAATCTTATATCAAGTCCTTTCCCCCACCTCCCCCCCTTCATTTTAGTATAGGGATGTCATGGTGAAAGATGGATTTCTGTGGGACATCTCTCTCAACAGTGGTTTATTGTTTAACATTAGTTGGTCTCAGCCCATCCTCTTCCTGGCCACTGTAGAAGGTATTCTTAAAGGATAAAGATGCTGACTGTCTTGGTAGACTGCTTTGGGATACGCAGAGAACGCTGTTCACAAACCAGTTTGATGGTCTGAGAGTCACTGGACTTGTACTCACTTTGCAGAAAACATCATTCCCCGGCGTTAATTAGAGACAGAGCCCAAGGATTCAGTGTGGATGGTGATTCACCTGATTCTTCAGGTCACTGGTGAGGTCATTTGCTGGGTATGTTCTGGGAAGGTTTCTGGACCACTGTATGGATGCAGAGCTCCAGTTTCCAGGCTGCAGACAAAGCTGCCCAGAGGGGAAGGTGGGTGGAAGTAAGTGGTTTCCCTTGGAGCTGAGAAATCTCCCTCAAAGTGCTGAGGCTCCGGTGGCACCAGAGACCAACTCTGGTTTGTTGTGAACAAACTAAGAAGCTTGCTGAATAGAAAAAGCCCTTTGCTACAGAGAGAAGATTCAGTCGAAAGAATAAGAAGAAAGCACTGTAGTAAGGATTCCAGGAATAAATCTTTAAAGTAAATACAAGTACCTACAGTATGCTTTTTTGCACCAATGAAAAATATGCAGCTGCTTTGCAAGGGACTAGCTTTCGCCAGCTCGAGATAGTCCGAAAGCTGATATTTTTTCATCTTCCCATGAGCTTTCCAGAACTGATAGCTATAAATCCATCATGAGGAAGAGGATATTGTATTTCTTCTTCTTAAGAGATAAAAGAGGGCTGATGACTAGTGCTGAAGTGAATTGTGAAGAGACTTATTTACTTAATTGAGCCTGCTTGTTTGGTATGTGTCCCAATTAATTCATTTTTGTTGTGACTATATTGAAGCAACCTACACCCTTGTGACCTTCTTTTATAATTATTACCATATTCCTCTTTTCAAGCACTGCTTTGATTATGTACTCAAAAAGCTCTGCTAAAATATCTGTAGCATTAGTAGAGAGTCAGATTTTTCCATTGTTTTGAACTCAAGGATAGTAACAAAAAGATTCTTTCTTTATTGAAGTTCTTGGAGGTTATGGGTCCCTTACAACCCTTAGGGGATGGGGGGGTGTCTTTCTTTTTAATTTCACAAAATTACTATTTTGAATAGGCAGAACTTGTTCTCTAACTAGAAATTCTTTTAAGAAAAATGTGTTGTTGCGTGGTAGCTCTCAGAGGTGCCTCATAATTCCTCTGGTGTGCCGAATATTGTACATATTACAGGGTCGCAGGAGAAAGTAACAGCAGCTGAAGAGGGGTTGGCAAGTATGACCATCCGTAAACTTGCTGAGATTGCTATGTGGAATCTGCCCCCAATGAGGCATTGTTTTTATTATTGCTTAAATTAACTGCAGTATTTGACAGCTCTTTGCCTAAACCACAGTGGAGCCTCTGGACACCTCTCTCTGAAGGAGAGACTCTTTCAGACATGGCAGTCAAATCTGCAGTGGTAGGTGACTCTGTCAGTGAGGGGTTGCCTGTACAAGGAGGGTGTTTATTCCTCAGTGCTTCATCGGATGAAGATTTTTCTGGTTTGTGCCAACCTCCATGATAGTAACTTGCACTCAATAAGATGTTTTTGTACTCCTGTCCTCAGTTCCTCTCTTCCTGTTTACTCAAAAATCCCAGCCAAATGGTTTTCCTCCATCACGGCATGCACACATGCACTGGTGAAGCTAGTTCTGGGCAGCAATCCCACAGGCGGTGTCGGTTTAGAGAGAGGTGCTCTGCGTGTTGCGTCTTTCATTCCAGTGGAAATAGAATGGCTTTTACCAGAAGTAAGTCTTAAACCAAGCCCCCTCGCCACTGGCTGTTGTATTTGGAAACCTGTTGAGTACCCTCGCAGTTTTGTGCACCTCTCGCAACAGCGGTCCCTTCTCCTCAGGCAGCAGGATCCTTGCAGAGAGTATTTCTTTACACAAGGCTTGCTGATACTATTTCTCTTACTGAACTAAGTAGTATCACTGCTATCCCCAGTCTCCACTGACTCTCTGCTCCCCTCTGTCCAGATCAAACCTGGCCATGCTTTTAACTTCTTGAAGCACTGTGTACCTTCTTTTCTCCTCCTCATTCCTAGTCCTTTTCTCTCTACTTCCTTACAGAGTGCCGTCATGTCTCTGTGTTTTATGCTGTGTGGAGTTTCTTTTTTTGTACGGCAGACTCTCTCTGTTCCTGAAACAATTAAAACCACTTTAAAGATAACAGCTCGCTCTGGGTCTCAGTTTTTCAACGGATGGCCCTCTAAGCTGCTGGGGATTTTGATGCCCGAGGACAGCAGGTGCTGGGTAGAGCTTACCTGGGATGCCACCCACTCACTGGTGTGCTGTGTCCTCTTGGTTTAACCTTTGTCTGAGCAGTCTTCTGTCCTCCTTCAGTGTAAGACTGCTCATGTAGCGAAAATTCCTGTGTCAGTAGAAAAGGTTTGGAAATCTTCCTTCAGCCATGACTAATAATCCAGCGTAAAACAGACCACCATCTCAGACCAGGCCATCTTCATGCACCAGGCAAAGGTGGGTGATTGAAAAAGCCAAAGGAGTGGTCTCTCTACAAAAACAGAACTGGAGGTTAATTCTTTGCCCTGCTCACTCTTGACTCTCTCTCTTTACATAATCTGGTTTAACTCTTTGGCTATGTCTATGCCCAGAACACTTTGACTAAGTGTTCTGCTTTAGAGTACATATGAAAGATGCTGTATGAAAGATTAATTTCCTTTCCATCGTTAGGAGTTTCCTTTTTACATGAACTCATGTGCGAGATCACGCAGCATGCAGCCGAGGTGTTGCATTTTATATGACACTTACAGGACTCTGCTGAATGAAATCTGCCAGTCTTTAGAGTTCTGAAAGTATGATATTCTGTTTATGTGTTTTTTGGCATAGAAACAGAAAAGCTGGGGCTGGAGGTAGGAAATGGATTGCCATCTTGGAAATTTAATTTTGACGTGTGTGGAAAAGTGTTTGGTCGACAGCAGACTCTGTCCCGGCATCTCTCACTGCACACGGGTAAGCCAATGCTTTGTGGTTGGTTGTTAACAGCACTGAGGAGATCTGTATGTTTGCATGGTTTGTTTAAGTGGAGGGGGGAGAAGGTAAGCCGAAGAGTCTGTGAGCCATCCTCAGCTCCTTGCACTTAAAGCCAAGCACAGAAACAGGACAGAATGTCAGAGTGGTGTTCAGGGAGTTAACGAACATTTTATTTCTCTACAGCCTACTTGTAATTTATCCTTACAAAATGTGTAAATTCAAGTTTGTTCAGGTTCCAGTAGACCAGCCTGTAGATAACCAAGCCTGTTAATGGAGTTCTGAAGAGAAGGCAGAGCCTTTCTTACAGGCACCGGATGAGCTTTTTAAATGTCACTGAACAACAAAAGATTTGGCCTCGGTGTTTTAGATCTGGCGCAACTGAAAAGATTTAATATCTGTCATTCATCTTTGCTCTAAACATCCAGTTCTTGTGAGAGGAACAGGGGCTGTTCTACCCCATACCAACTTTCTTAAAGTGAATCAGGTTCAAATCAACTGAGACTAACAGAGTTTTTATATGGAAGATGCACCTTGACAGCCTGCTGAGGTGCCCTGTGCAAAATAAGACTCGAAAGCAAGAATTTCTGATGCAGTGCTGAAAAATACTGTTGGTATAATGCCAGCATATGTTGTACCATCTAGTAAAGCTGTGCTGAAAAGGTTTAAATGCTCTGTTCTGTGGCTTTGTGGGGTTTTCTTAGTCCTAAGCTGCTCTATTGAATTCCTTTCCCCTGACACTTGTAGCATTATATTTCAAATTTAGAGCAGCAGCTCCTCAAAGAGAAAGGTTGTAAAAGCTGATGTGATGTTTGGTTATTTTAATCAACTCTTTGCAAAATGAAGCCTGGCATGTACAAAAAATGCGGTGCCAGGATTTAGAAATGTTTAATTTAAAATAAAATTATTTTTAATTGTTTTAAGTTGTGAAGCATTAGAAACTCGTGATGGATTTGTTTAATTTCTTCAATTGTTCCTTGAGTGGGGTTGAATTTTTTTTTTTGTTAGTTTGTGTTCAGAAGTGGCCTAATGATACAGCGTTCCCTTTCCTCCCCACTCTCAGATTTTAATACAAAATCATCAACCATCAACTCTCTGCAAGTGATCACATGGGCAAACTCAAGAATAACTGGACCCAAAAATCAAATAAAAGATGCTAGGTAAAGGAAGTAGTTGTAGATTGTTGACCTGTTTCTGTACTGGCTCTGCTGCAGTTCTCAGAGCAGCAGTTGCCCCAGTTTTCCACTTTATAAAGTTTTATATTATCTGACTACAAATGGTAGAGGAAGTTAAAAAAAACTAGCCCTAAACTACCTCCAATGTAGTTTTTTTCTGAGCAATTGCTGTGAACTCCTATAAGTTTCCAAAATGTCGAGCTTCCAAACTACCTCATTCTGAAAGCTGCTCAGAGAAACCCAAAGGAATGCATACTTGGTTGCTGGCAGCTTTAAAAATAGCTTGCTTCAAAATGCACTATACATTTAAGGTTTTCTGTTTCTTCTTCAGAAGAGAGAAAATACAAATGCCACTTGTGCCCCTATGCTGCTAAGTGCCGTGCTAATCTGAACCAGCACCTGACCGTCCATTCTGTGAAGCTGGTGAGTACAGACACCGAGGACATTGTCAGCGCTGTCACTTCCGAAGGCAGCGACGGAAAGAAGCACCCTTATTACTACAGGTGAGCACCCGGACAAGGGCTGTGTACCAGATGCTGGAATCTGAATCTCTTATCTACCCGCTAAGGACGTGTTACAGGACCACCCTTCTGGTGTTGCAGGGTGGAACTGCGGTGAAGCTATTTGTCTTGTATCTGACTTAGGCTAAGCAGCAAAACCCAGCTGGCTGCCTCGTGCTGTTTGACTTGGCTAGCCACTGGGAAAGACTCTGGGTTTTGGTGTGGGCTTGGTGTTTTTCAAACGGTTTTGTGAGGCAGACAGGCTCTTAGAAGCCTCTTTAACTTTTTATGCAGTGTTCGTTTAAGTTTTGTGTTTGGAAACATACCGTCACATACACAGAATAACAGCAAATCTAAAGCGCTATGCTTCCAGTTGCCTCTGACAACTCCATTGTTTTCAGCCAAATCTATGAAATCAAATAGTAAAGCGTAATAAGAATTGTGATATCGTTATACACATTTCCTCCATTTGCTAGAGGTCACACTCAGAGACCAACGTGATGAAAGAAAGAAAACCTTTAGGAGAATTTGCCTGAAAACTTAAAAGGAATTGCCCAGATAAAATGGATATTTGGACATTCTCCTTGTTGTATCTACTGTTGCGCGCTCTGCAAACTGTGATATGTGCTCCAGCGGCCAAATCACTCTTACTTTTAGTCAAAGTGCCAAGAGCAGATTTAATTACAAAATCATGGAAGTAAGAAATAAATGAGACCTGCTGGATTAGATTATCTAGTCCATCCCCTTGGGAAAGCAAAATAGTGCCCTGGAGTATACACCTTTTAAAATGTTTTTTGCTTGTTTCAAATGTTAATGGCCTAATCAAAGCAAGAGGGAGGACTCTGCAAAGAAAGTTAAATTAAAGGGTGCTTTCCATTGCCTCTCAATATCACTCTGTTTATGCACTGGCTATGAAATCTGTATCCCTGCTAATTATTTGCATAGCTGATGACTGCTGTTTTCCAGTCAAGCATAAGAAATGTTTGAACCCATTTTTACTTGCTTACACTGAAACTGCCAGGCAGTTTTGCACAAGATCCCAGTTTGGCATGGGAACCATTCCAGGGCTTGAAAATAACTCCTGGAGTGTGCAGCAAGCTCACCATTTGTCAGTGTATCAGCCGTACTAAACATCTTGGCAAAGCTGCAGTGCCTCTTATTGCCCAAAGGAATCAGCTAGGTGATGCGCAGCATCTGGAATCTGTAGTTTTTAATTAACTTTATGATTATTTAGCGTCATTATAGCATGTACAGGATTGTTGCATTGTGCCTGCCCTTAATCACATTGGCATGGCCATCAGTTCAAAGACAGTTCAGCAGACAAAAGAATTTTGCAGAGACCATTCAACAGCGAGGAAGAGAAGAAATCTGTGCAGTGAGTTTTTTTCTTGCAAATTCAGGGAAAGGCAATCTGCTTCTGCTTGTGGTTTGGTTTTTTTAATGTTTCTTACTCTTGAATTCCCTTCTGCCTGCAGCTGTCATGTGTGTGGGTTTGAGACGGAGATGAATGTCCAGTTTGTCAGTCATATGTCCCTCCATGTGGATAAAGAGCAGTGGATGTTCTCCATTTGCTGCACAGCGTGCGATTTTGTCACCATGGAAGAGGCAGACATGAAGGCTCACGTCAACAGCAAGCACACAGGTGATGATCCCTGTCTCCCAACTGCAGTGATCTCTCCCTTCCTTGCTTTCTAGGTGCAACCTTCGCACTTCCCATTAGCACTCTACTTTCACTGAAATGCTTGCTAATTAAGGCCTGATCTCTCAAAGTTGAAGTGAATTGGACTCCAGCCAGGCAAATAATCTAGTAGCGCAGATCAATTTTCAAGCTTAGCAAAATAAATGAAGGACTACTTAGCCCTCCTTCTTCCTATTCCCCTTATCCCTCAAATCCCCTCCCCTGTTGAAGTCAGCATACTTCATTTGCTTTTCTGACTGGTTTACTATTTCATCAGAACCCCGGTTTCACTTCAGTGACGATAAGGTGACTTTGAGTGCTAATTGTGCATACCTGGCTGTAAGTCTGAAATATGCGGTATGTTGAGCTTCGCTCTTCAGCGTGTTTGCCTCCACAATCTTATCAGTTTGGAATTTCACGCTGATGTTTAGTTGACACCGTGATTCAGCAATACCATAACTGTAACTTTATATTAAATAACAGAACAAGTCATGTGTTTTCTCCCTGGTCCTGTTCACTTAATAGCCAAAGATAAGAGCAATAGCAGCGTTCAAACAAGCTCCATATGCTTAGTCCAACTAATGAAGTCTGGCATAATTGAAGGAGAAGAAAATTGGAATCCTTTTAATTAATTTCTCTAACAACACCAGGCAGAAGCATTTTGCTGCCACAAACTACTAACAGTTGAGTTGACAATACTGAACCTGAACTGCATCCAGCACAATTTTTCCATTGCTAAATTGCTTTTCCTGCCCTACCAGGAAAAAATTGGGGAAAACAGGGAGAGATGGAGAAGGGAGAGAAGAATGCAGTTGTTTGTGCTCACAGATACATCAGTTAAACGTAACTACAGAAATACAAACTACTGGAAAGCTCTCAAGGGATTTTATGTCAGCACAGCTCTCAGCACTACTTCCTGCTGTCCAAGGTGTTTGCATCTAACTCCGCTTCGTATGTAGGAAGTCAAGACCAATGAGAAACGCCACATGAAAAGCTTGCATCGGAGCTCAAAACTGAGCTCTACTCTACTGTATCTTCCTATCATGGCTAAAAGACTGGAGCTGCTGCTTGTCTTTTAAAGAAAGACAAACCCCACCTTGTTCTTCCTTCACCCTGTCAAACTGAGCTGTTCAGCTGGTAATTCAGCCAAATGCTTACACGTATGGCAAATACAGAGAGTAAAAAATAGAATTGATTTTCTGGGTCACTTGACTACTGTCCCTTATCCTGTGATGTTACCAAGTCATAAAAGGCCTGTTTGTAAGGATGTTGGCATATGTCTTCACACAAGTATAATTGTTCTAAACCAACTACTTCTGCAGACAGGCAGCCCCAGATTTTCCTTCATTAAAGATTAGGGACCTTTTTAAAATTTCCAGCCTGTGTCTTACTGATAATCAGAATACACGTATGTTGTTCTTGTGCCAGAACTGTCCTTTATCTGAAACGGCAGTCCACCTCTTGCTCCCTCCACCTTTCTTCCCTCCTTCCACAGAATTTATTCCCTTAGTATATTTATGGAGAACAACCCTCTCCCCTCTAAATGTACATGGAGCCTTTTCTTATATGGAACACAATTTCTCACTGTACCAATCCCTCACTGCATATGTTCTTCTTAGAACCCCTGCTCTCGACATAAGTAATCACAGCTGTACATGGTGATATGAAATAGGTAGTGGTGGCAGCATAAAACAGCAGCAGCGACTGGGAATAGCTCACACAATAATGTTCTGTGATCATATTTACCTTCCTTGAAGGCTCCCCCGTACTGATTGCTCATATTCATCCCATATTCTGCTCAAATTCTTCTTTTGTTTTCCTTGACTGTGTCCAACTTAAGCACTCCTCATTTGTAGCAAAAATTCTTGTTACTGGCCCTTCAGGTCATAACCTTGTACTGTGTACTATTAAATTTCATTCCATTTCTATTACTCTGGTCCCCAAGGTCAGTGAAGCTTTCTATATGATGTCCCAGTCATCCTCCCTATTGACAGCTCAGGTCATCAGATTTCATTAGTGCATTCCTACATTTTTATCTTAGACTTAAAGGTGCCGCTCATCAGTTTGAAGCTTGGCACATAGGTACTGGTGTTTGCAGAGGCCTTGATCAGAGAATATGAAGTTTTAGTAAAGGCTCTTTGTAACACAGCTCTGATTAAACCAAGACATAGGTGGGAGGTAATAATTTGCCCACCCTTGCCTCGTTGGCTCACAGCAGTTCTCATCTGAGAACTCTCACTTCTTGTTCATTTCTAGTCTGTGACAGGGTTTGGGATTTGAACTTCATATGTTTATTGCACATGTAAGGAAACTCTGATGGGCTTCTGCTTTAGATCCAGTTAAATATTTTTTTTTAATTAATTATCTTCAATAAGAGGTTCTAATAAAAACAGATAACTCTTGAGACCACGCTGTTATCCCTTACAACCATTACTGAGGATGCTTCTCAGTAAAATGAGTGAGATTACTCTCCTTTGCCCTTACTCCCAAATTTACCCATGAACCCACAGAAATGGAAAGGTGGGGGAAGTTTAGCTTGGACCACTAGGCACTTTTTGTTTTTGCACCCCAAACCTACAGAAGGTCTGTTTCCTGTCTAAGTTACAAGTTCTTCATTGGTTTTGAACTCTGAGCTAATCAAAGTGTTTTCTTGGGATTTTTTCAGGCTGGTAATGAGGTAGAGTTGCATACTTCCTTCCCACTACCATTACAGACAGACTCAATTCTAGGATAAACTGAGAGATTACTGTTGTAAATGTTAAAATAAAGGAAGGAAGTGCAACTATTTCTTAACAGATCAATTAATTTCAGACTTGTTTATAAGCATATTTGAATTAACTTTAAACATAAATATTTTTCCTGAAATTTAAAACAGGATAATTGAGATCCAATCTAATCTAACATGTACTAGTTATTGCTCTTTATTCCTGTTTTTCAGCTGAAGAGAGGAAGACACCCAGTGAATCTAATAGTCCATCTTCATCTTCGCTGTCAGCACTGAGCGACTCTGCCAACAGCAAAGAAGATGCAGATATAACCCCAAAAACCAAGGGGTCAAACAACCTGCTGGTCATTTCGGTAGTGCCTGGTAGTCAGACCTCAGTGAACACTGACGAGAAGTCAGAGAAAGGTAAAACACTGTTGAACAAATACAAACTGTCACCTTCTATGCAGTCAACCTGGCCACAATGTAAGGAATACATTCTCCTATTTTTCAGGCTTTGAATGTGTTTTCTGTAACTTCGTCTGCAAAACAAAAAATATGTTTGAGCGCCATCTGCAAATCCACCTGATCACACGGATGTTCGAGTGTGATGTGTGCCACAAGTTCATGAAGACACCTGAACAATTACTGGAGCACAAGAAATGCCACACTGTCCCCACCGGTGGGCTCAAGTAAGGAAAGCAAGTACACAAACTTTTACTGTGTTAAGCACCTCTAACACTGTGGGGCTAGGACAAAAGGAAGTAAATTAGAAAGGCTTAGTTAAATGTCTGATAATCCAGATTTGGGGCTTCCTTTTATTTAGATGGCTCAAGCCCAGTCCTTTAGTGCAAGCTTGCATCATTAAAGCAGATCAATAACCTAGCAGCAGGTCTAGCATCCACCGGTCTTAGAGCTGTAACAAATTGTGGTCTGTGTCCTTTTCAAGTCAAATAGGAGGCAGTATGTGATGCGTCCTACAGAGAATGAGGCAGCGCTACACAGAGGTATTGGCAAAGAGGGGTTTTTTCCAAGTCAAGGAGAGCACACAGCACAGGCTCTGTTCTGCACCTCACTCAAAGAAACTAAACCCTGTACAGTCTCTGCAACTAGGTATGAAGTTATAACCTTAAAGGTTATAACCTTTGTAGACTCTAATGCAAAGTCAGCCCTCTCCAAGAATTAATAACTTTGATACTTTCTGCTTTGGTTTGCATGCCCCAGAATGATCGCTATTGTATTAATTAACACGTAACAAGTAATATACTATTTTAAGAAAAAAGCCCTTTGGCTTTGGTTAAGGTGGTGTCCTTTAACGTCTGTTGGTGCAGAGCAGTGTTTTTAGAGAATGAGCGTGCCCTTATGTCAAAGTTGGACCCCTGAAGAAAGGAGTGACTGCTGGGGCCATATGCTTGCTCTCTGTGGGTGGGCAACGTGACGTTATGCAAGATGCACGTCCCTGGTTTCTGTTCCAGCTGCTGCAGGAAAAGAGGCTGGAACCACTTTGATCCCCGCTAGGGTTCAGCGCAGGACTCCCTGCTTCCATTGCTCTTGCTAAGCAAACTGATGCTTTCAGTGCACTGTAACTCTCACGTGACGAGCACACCACATTTAACGTTACCACGAGTAGCTCTGTCAGTTTGCACTGCAGTTTTTGAAAACTGGTTCTGTTTGCCAGGCAGCATCTGGTCTCCAGCTCGGTAGTTCCATGAACTGGGATCTGTGGTCACTTGAGATGTGATGACTGAATCTGGGAAGACGACCAGATTGAGAAACAAGTTGTGTGCCAGAACGACAGGATGTCTGTCTTGGACGTACAGACCAGTTGTCTAATGCACTTTGGGTTTAAGCTGCACAGAATCTGTTCTATTTAACAAGGAAAAACCATGACCTATGACTCAGACCTTCCTGACAGAATGGGCTTCTCAGTCTACATAAGTTATTCCTGCCCAACTCAAGTAATAATTAGGTACCTTGAAAGCTGCACCTAAGAAAAAGCTCTGATTTAGATTTTTTAAAAGGCATCCAGAAGAGCCTGAAGAGATCTAAGTAAACTGTATTTTTCTGTCTCGTTTGCTATGTGGAAAGAGAAAAAAACATGATTCCTCCAGCTCCAGGTCAAAATCTGAGATTCTGATCCAGAGAGCACCCAGCCCAGGAGAGGTACGTGTGCACAGACAGCTGAGTCCTCTGTTGCAATAGAGCTACTCGCGTTAGCAGCCTCAATGCCAGGTTCCCTCTCTGGATCAGAGTACTTGGCGCGCATGAGGAAAGGCATCCAGATGTTTTAGTATCAGTTTACCCTCCTCTATTACCCTCTGTGCTCAAAAGTCTCTTGATTAGCAGGTAGATTAATTTTAAACCTGTATATGCAACCAGTTGCAGCAAGGGAAAACACAGGGAGAGAGAAGATCTCTGCTTAGAAATGATCTGAAATGCTAGAACACAATTGGCAGAGCTGCTAAACAGTGAATGCAGATCAGGGGCAGGTGGAGATGTCCAAAACATTGTGCCAGGTGCCTGAGTTGTATCTTTTTATCTAGACCTGCTCTTTTAGCTCACCAGTAAGATGTGGAAGGGAGCGTGCTTTGTTTAATACAGTGGAGATCCCTGGCAGGAAACTGTCCTCACCAGCTTCCTCTCAGCTACATAAAGCACAAGCGGGTGTATTTTGGGTTTGTTGGTGTCCAGACTTGCTCAGCTCAGGCTTGCTTTCAAGATTGCTTCTTCCAGCCTTCTTGGCCTTTCCTGGTCCAGGAACCAGGGGTGAGGCCCTTTGCCTGGCCGCTTGCTGCTGTGAGTAAGCGGAGCCCACATCCTGTTCCCACACAGGAACGGTTCCTGCCGTGGCAGAGGCGGCTGTAGGCAAACACTGCCAAACACACGCCCCCTTGGAGCATGGCTAGCTCATCTCCCAGAAATGGGAATCCCTACCAATCTTCCTAACAGCGTGGCTTTCAGCTGCTCCTAGCAGGATACCCAGCAAGCTTATTGTTCAAGGTCACATAAAAGGAATTTCCTAAGCTTTTGCTGTACATGTGGTATTACAAGTTTATTCCATCTTTACTTAAACAGCTGCTTTCATACTCATCTGTAAACACTCACTTTAAACCACTTCTTAATGGAAAAAATGGCCAAAGTGACTTCGTGCAAACACTAGGAATGTCGTTACACAAGGTACCTGTGAATCAGTCACCCACCCTGCACTACCCGGCCTGCTTTGCAGAATCTTCCCCATCAAGGTAAGCCAGAAGATTAAAGGGATGCTCCTTCAGAGTGCATCAGTGTTTTCCTAGCAATGCGTGAGCCCTGCTGCCGTTACACGGGCAAACCTCTAAGTAGAGACGTGTCAAGGTAAACCAAGTATTGAAAAGAGACTTTACAGGGAGAACTAAGTGCCTTTTTTCTCCTCTTCAGTAGGTCAGAGAGGGGCTGAATGACAGGGTTAAACCAGGAGTGCGGGTCTTCAAGCTGAGTGACTTCTCTTTTCTCTGTCCCTGCCTTTCCTTGCTGTGTTGCCAGGTGCCCATTCTGCATCTACTCCACTAACCGCCCCGCAGCGATGGAGTGCCACCTGAAGACTCACTACAAGATGGAGTACAAGTGTCGGATCTGCCAAACAGTGAAAGCAAATCAGCTGGAGCTGGAGATGCACATCCGAGAACACCGCCTTGGCAACCATTACAAGTGCGACCAGTGTGGCTACCTGTCCAAGACCGCCAACAAGCTGATTGAACACGTGCGTGTCCACACTGGGGAGCGCCCTTTTCACTGTGACCAGTGCAGCTACAGCTGCAAACGCAAAGACAATCTCAACTTGCACAAGAAACTGAAGCATGCTCCACGCCAGACTTTCAGCTGCGACGAGTGCCTGTTCAAGACTACCCACCCTTTTGTCTTCAGCCGCCACGTGAAGAAGCACCAGAATGGGGACTGCTCCGAAGAGGAGAAGAAAGGCCAGTATTCAACCTCCAAGGAAGCCAGTCCACTCCTATCTGTGAACAGCTCCAGAAACCTCCTGTCACCCCTCTCAGTTATGTCTGCCTCCCAGGCTCTGCAAACAGTGGCTATGTCAGCTGCACACGGCAGCGGGGCAGAGCCAAACTTGGCAGTGAAAGCTTTGGCCATCAACGGCACTTCCCTGTGCTTCGATAAATACTGGAACTCAGAGTTTGCCCACCTTATTCCTTTAACAATGTTTTTCCCCAAAAACCACTACGATCTCACATTCCATCCACCCAGACCTCAGACTGCACCGGGAGGTGCCTCTTCACCTAAACACTCCTTCCTTGCCTACCTTGGACTAACAGAAAGGGCAGAAACTGTCTGAGGGCAGTTACATTCTGTACCAAAAATACCCCAACAAACCCAGCAGGTATACATTGCTGCAAAACGTAGACCGAAGAGGTAACGAACACTTGTACTATATCATTAGTAAGGTTTAGAAAATGGCTCTGTGTGTATACTTATTGCATTGACATGAAAGCTGCTTTATTAAATCTTCAAGAGGTGACCTACTGCATACTTCTACCTTCAGAGGCATGTTCCCAGTACTCTTATCTAAGAAACTATTTTGTCTTGTTAAGCTGAGAAAAGAGTGTCCTTAATGGCAATCAGCACTTGTAAGATTACATATTGGTGCATTTCATTTTTGGGCTTTGTTTGCGTGCGGGTGTGTGAAAGAGAGCCTGCCTGTAGCGTGCCACAACATTGCTTTTGCACATCCCTTGTATTGGCTTATTTAATTATTATTCTTTCCCCCTTTTCACGCACTTGCTCCCTCCCTTCCCTCCATCTCCCCCTGAACTGTAGAGGTGTGGAAGGAGTAACGCTTGGTTCAGGGTGGATTGGTGTATTATTTCAGTGCTGTTTGCAGCTTCCTTTAGTTGTTTGATGCCTTGTACTCAGTTGTCAAGGGTTGAGGATTTGGGGTAGAACTGACAAGGAAAAAGTTGTTCTCAGCACTGCAGGATGAGAGTGTGACAATGAAAAGCGTGTGTATGTACACACACACATATACGCAGTGTGTGCAGCCTACACACCCACACAGCAGGCCCAATTCTTAACTGTTACACAGATGTAACAAACACCTACATCTGGGCCATAGCATACATCTTTTGTTTTAAAAGGGCATATAAATATTATAGATAGATATATATACTGTATTATGCAGTGGTTACCTTTTAGTTTGCAGGAACAACTTGTATAACTAGAATTCTATGGTGGAAAAAAAAAATCCAACAAGGGGATTAAAAAAAGGGTATGGATAAATTCTGGGTATAAATACTCAGACTAAAAAAAAAAAGGCAGTTTTGCACAGTGCTTTAGTCTTGCACTAGTTTGTTTCTCACTTGCAAAAAAAAAATAAAAAATCTGTGGGCTGAAGGTAAGATGACTGTTTATTTGAAAAGGTACCAGTGACTTCTTTGAAATATAAAGCTATAAAAAGATGCTGTTTGAACCATACAGTTCTCTTTTGTACCCGCAGTATTTCAATTGTACTTGCAAATTCTACACTCCTATCGATACCCTCCATGTTATTAGTAATACTTTATTCCTTTTTGTTAATGGCGGATAGAGCGTACACTGCTAGGAAGCTAACGTTATACTTATTTAACGCTCCTACTTGTGGTCATTAAAATGACATGTTATATGTAGCACTTTATTGCAGGAAGAAGCAAATGCAGATTGGTTGTATAACCTTTGTTAATCTCAAAATGCCAAGAGTGATCTTAATTTAAGAGAAGCTAACTGACTGTTAATTGATTTGTGTTTCTTAGACAACTTAATATCCAGGAAGAAAGATCAGGATTAAAATTACTCTGCGTTAAAATTGGAAGTATAAAATATGAAACATTTCCAAATTATTATGTGACTTACAGGAATGCTTTCTTACTGGATTACTGTTTTCCGTGGTGTCTTTTGGATTCGGATCTCACTGTCTTTCACCAGGTATCAGAAATGTCTGACCTAGCTTTTGTCAGCATCCCCTCTCTGTCCCCTAGCCAAGCCACTGTAGGAGGTGCCCTGAGTCACATTGAACGCGCTATCTACCCACCCACCCTCGTGCTGTCTCGAAGGAACAATTTCTGCAGGTTGTTGTGGGAGGGGGATCCGGCACACCAGCTGGAGCCAACCCCTTGTTCATGACAGCATGAAAGCAACGCTCAGTTCAGGAAGGCATTTCTGGTCCACAAGGGCTCTTAGCCATATGCACAACTAGAAACGTAACTCAATCTTCATTAGTTCTTCAATGAAGCTTGTGTAGAAATACTTTTTGGATGCAAAACTTGCATCGTTTAACCTATTTGCAAGATTCCTATGTTTGTTTTGCACTGAGATGGCCAAACATTCTCCACTGTCATGACCAAACTCTTCCTGTTTGGGGAGGACATCCTGATCTGTGCACTCCTGTTAACATACTGGAAGCTATCTACAAGGGGGAAATTTCCAAAAGACTAGCAGGTTATCATTGGGAATTAGGAATTAAAGGACAGAGAAGTCCCATCATTTTGTTTACATTCCAGCAGACAGTTTTGGTTCTGACAAGCATGTGGCAGTTGTGTCTGAGTAAAGAAAAGCCATCTGTTCCAAAGTCTGTATAAACCTTTGTAAACAACCTACGTAACTCAGGGCCCTGTTTGCCATGCTTTACTCCATCACAACTCCTGGTAACCTCCCCCCAGCTCCCCTGCCCCGCCCCCCCGGCATACAGACAAAATATAGAAAATGCTGTATAAGTAAATACTCAAAGCATAAAAAATTTAGTATCTCAACAGCATGAAATATGCAGCCTGCATCTAGAAACTATACTAGTTCTTTTAAATACACTCCATGCGTATATCTCTTACTCCACCATAGAAGAGCAAACACTTCCAAAATCAAAAAGCTTATTTTTCAAACCGACAGGTAAAGTACAGCTGTCTAGGAGGAAGAAGTAGGAATATTAGTGGGACACCTTATGTAAACCAAATGGCAGTTTAAATAGGGCTGGAACTTCCAAGAATGAGCTGTCAGCATGCAAATGCCACGTGTTCAACAATGTTCCACTGTACCAGTACCTGACATAGCAATGTTTAATGTACCTGGGAAATTTGTTTAGCACTTTGGAAAGGATAAATTAATTCTTTCTGGCAAGTTATAGAAGTTTTCTCTGTAAGGAAAAGTGTGTTAGGAGGTTTTTATTTTTTTAAGAAAAAAAATACAATATTTATCAGAGCTCATGCATATTAAAGTAATTGGTTTGCAGTTCAAGGCTAAAGAAAGGAATGTTCTCCAGAGGTTTCCCCCTACCGACTAATGACCAACAGTTCTGATAAATTCCCCCCACCATAAAGGTAATTTCATACTAGTTTTCACTATGCATTCTTTCACGAAAGCTAGCGTGTTTTTCCATTCAGTAATTCAGTTAAAGTTCTCGGCACTTTTTTCTTTCTTTCTTTTTTTTTTTTTTTTACTTGTTGTATTATGTTCAAATATCATTCTGTCAAGGTTTGTGTACATTAATAAAAATTTGTATTGTATAAAGCTTTTTGCATTATAAGGCTGTACAGGGTCATTTTGACAGTAACTGGTATATTCCTTTGCATCTTATGTTGCATTGCCAATTTCTAGTGTATCCAGTTTGGAAGTACAATATACTCTAATTAAAAAGGTTGGCTATATTCTTGTTTCTTTTTGGTTTTCCTTCCTCTCTTTTTTTCACCTTAAATAGATTTAGGTTTGATTCGGAGGGAGGGGGAAAAGATTCCCCTCCAAGACAAGAAGATACAAAGGAAAAAGGTAAGATGCTATCAAAGGTTGAAATTGAAAAGGAAAGCTCTGGTTACTACTACCGATGAAGAAATAGAGTGAGTATTCCTAGGATGACTACAGGACTTCTCTCTGTGGGCTCTGTACTCGTAGCGACCTGCCCGGTCAGTTCTGCAAGGGGTAGTGCCTCTTCTGAGGAGTCTGCTCAGTCGTGCGGATGAGGGAGCTCTCCAGCCCTACCCTCAGCCCTGCAGTTTGAAAATCAGGTCCTTAAGCAGTAGTTTGGTGAACCTGGCCTTGCTTGGGGGTAGCCCCAATGGAATCAGGAGAACTCCTTCCTTAAAGAGGAGCTACGCAGTGGATAAACGAACATTGTGCATTAAAAGATTGTAGTGGAAATATATTTTTTTAATTGTAAAAATATCATGTACGCATTTTGTCAGCATTTTAGAAAAACCTATTTTTTTTCACCAAAGATTAATGAAATAATTAAAATGCACAGAGGAGGCTAAAGAGGAAACCCTAAGAGCAGACAGATTTCCAAGAAGCAAATACAGCATGGGCTCCACTGAACAAGAAAAGATACTGAACATCCTAAAAGGAAGTTAGAGTATTTAAACACTAACCAAGAAAAAAAAATCTGGGTATTTCAGATAAATTAACGTTAACATTAAATACATGTGGGAATTGCCCTTTGCCCTCAGGGCAGTGTTAAGGTCTTATCAACCTAAAAATTCTTACAGTTATTTCTGCTGGGGTGTGGATACTGATTTTTCAGGGCCTCTATCGGTACCTCATTAGAGTACGTGGTGCTGTTAACAGCTCATGTGTTGAATCCATGGCTCCTCCTTTTGCTGGGGCCTAGTTAGGTGAAGGGATGGCATCTCCAGCTCTGATGCTGGGACGGTAAGTCACGTTCCAGAAGAGGTGGTCTTTCCTCTTGCACTACATCTGTAATAGAAAATATAATGTGATACTCTGTGTGGGGTTTTTTGCACTATGCATAAATAGTTATCCTAGTAATTAAAAGACAATCATGCAAATTCTCTGGTATAATTTTGAAAGATATTGCAGAGATTGATGTACTAAGTCCTGATAATATCCTGATGGTTTTAAAACAGATGTTTTAAAACAGTTTGTGTAAATTGTTACAGTTCTGTTGTAAATTTTTATAACCGTTCACTTAATTGAGACAATGGTTTAAGATGTAGGTTCAAATGTTCAGTTAAAAGAAGCAGAGAAGGTGCAGGGAGTGAATCAAAGAGCACCTGGGCTGGCAGAGGAGAGGGGACACAGCTGTCTCTGGAAGCAGTGTACTCTGCACTATTTGACAGTGTCTCTAGGAGCGGGCTGAGCAGAGACCTGAACTATCCTGCCTGCGTAAGTAGCCAGCTGGTGGTTAAGTGCAAGTCTTGTAGTAGCTCCAGCCCTTGAGTCTTACTGTAAACTTTTGTTTAAAAGCTCAGGCTTGGCCAATCTCAACCAAAACACCAACCCTCCTCTTGCAATCAGCCTCTCTAGCTTTACAAAACCCATACATCTGACAGAAGAACCCCATGTGCACCCAAACAGGGGTGTGTCACACGCTGGTATGTGATAAAGAGCCACTGTCTTTGCAGCAGATGGCTGTAACATGCTTGTTGACCTGCACAATTTTAATCAATTAACTCAGTTTGACCTAATCTGTCTTTTCTGATACACGCACCAATATATTTGTGTGGCGATAAGAAACATCTTAGTTTGTGTATTGACCCTCTCAGGACAGCAAGAACTGCCCTGTTTTCATTCTCCATATATTTTTAGTATGCCACATACATTAAAAAAAAAAGATAATTAACTTAAAAGTGGACATTTTTTCAAGCAGAATTATTTCTTACAATCCTACATCTGCCATAGTCATCATAAGCCCAGGCAGAACAAAGCTTAAGAGAGAGAGACTTTGGGGGAGGGGGGGGAACAAAAAACAACCCACCCTATAATTTTCTGTAACACTTGACTATACAGAGGGATTCTTTTGCAGAGAGCTGGCATAATTTATGCAGAACCACGTTTTAAAATACATGTTGTGTTAAAAATATATCAGTTGTGCTCCTAACAGACATCTGCATTATATCATCCACCATCGTATCTGCTGCTAATTGGCCTCCTTGTTGACAAGTCTCAGCAGCAAGGTTAAGTACTGGCTGTAAAAGCAATCTAGCCTCTTGCCCGTGAGGTCAGAGCTCAGGCAGACCGTGCAGGAGCCTGCACACCCTCTTCCCTGCTATATATTTTCTGAGAGCTAATAAAACACTGGCGCAATCACTCCTACCCGGAGGTCTGCCAACCACTACAGTGTCCGCAGAGCTGCAGTAAGTGGTATGTTGTTGCAGAAGTACTCAAGTCGTCTGCAAGGGAAGAGGCATCATCTTTTGTATCAAAGTTTTAGAAACTACCAATGAAGCATCTAAAAAGGCCAGAAGTGACAGCTAACCTTGGACATGGGGCAGCTGAGTTCTGAGCGCCCAGCAGGAGCTCCAGGGCAATTCATCTTGAC